CATCACTTATACAAGGATTCTGAGAGAAACAGACCCTTCAAACTGCAATGAAAAACCATGCCAGCTAGCCATGCCAATCATTACAGACCTCCACAATTATGAACACACCACCATGGATCATAAGGAAACATCTTACTCCAGTCAGAATGGCAACTATTAAGAATACAAGCAACAATAAATGTTGGCAAGGATGTGGGGGGAAAGTTACAATCATACACTACTGGTGAGACTGCAAATTGGTGCAACCACTGTGGAAAGCAGTATGGAGGTTCCTCTCTGAGGAATTTGGAATGGAACTATCATTTGACCCAGTTATCTCACTCCTCGGTTTACACCCAAAGGACTTAAAATCATTATATTACAGTGACGCAGCCACATCAATGTTTATAGCAGTTCAACTCACAATAGCTAAACTATGAAACCAACTTAGGTGCCCTTCAACAGATGAATGGATAAAGAAAATATCGCACATTTATACAATGAAACATTACTCAGCCTTAAAGAAGAACAAATTATGACATTTCCCAGTAAATGAATGGAACTGGGTAACATCATGCTAAATGAAAAAAAGTCAATCCTAAAAAACCATATGTGGATGCTAACCCACTATAGAGGGATGGTAGGGAAGAATAGAGGTACTTTGGATTATATAGAGAGAAGGGAAGTGGGAGAAGATATATGGGGTAGAAATAATAGTAGAATTAATCAAATATTACAACCCTATGTGCATACATGATTGCATGAATGGTGTGATTCTACAACATGCACAACTAGAAGAATAAGAAGTTACACTCCATTTATATGTAATGTGTCAAGTGCATTCTACTCTCATGTGTAACTAATTGGAATAAACTTTAAAAAAGAATAACTAATTGACCAGGTAAAACAGAGATGATTCAAGGAAAGAAAAAAGATTTATATAGTTCTAATAACTGTCCTCAGAAAAATCTGATCACATACTACTTCCAAAATATCAGAAAAAAATGACATCTTGGCAATTAGAATATGATTGCATAACTGGGCAAAGTGGAGCATGCCTATAATCCCAGCTCAGAAGTCTGAGGTGGGAGGACTGCAAGTTCAAAGCCAGCCTGGAAAATTTGTGAGACTCTGTGTTAAATTAAAATAAAAAATGTTGGGGATATAGCTCAATGTTACTGCACTTGCCTAGCATACATGGGCCCTGAGTTCCTTAGCACCATCACCACCAACACCACGTGTGTGTGTGTGTGTATTATTCACAAATAAAAACTTCAAAAACCAGATGGAAAAGAAAAGGATAGGAACAAAGTTAGTAATCTTGAAAAGGAAGTCAAGGAATCTTGTGAAACATAAAGCATAAAAGACTAAAAGGGAAAATAAAACAAGGGATAATGAAATTGGGAGTGTAACTCCGGGAAGTTATATACCTAACACGTGTAAGTTCCAGAAAGAAAAAAGCAGACACAATGGAAGGGAAGAAATTATTTTAAAAAACAGGAGGCAATATCCGTGGGCTGAAGACAGATGCAAATCTCCAAACTAAAAGGGCCCACTGTGTGGATTACTAAGTACACTGATCATGTTTGGGTAACATTTTAGAATATGGTTATAGTTTGAACTGTGTCCCTCAAAAGCATACCTGAAAGTTCTGATCATCAATACCTGTGAACGTGTCCCTATTTGGAAATAGGGTCTTTGTGGATATAATCAAGTTGAATTGAGGTCATACTGAATTAGGATCTGCCCTAATCCAATTTGGCTCGTGTCCTCATAAGAAGGGGAGAAGAGATAGAGAGACACGCAGAGGAAAGCACGCCATGTGAAGACGGAGGCAGAGATTGGGTTTACGCAGCTGCCAGCCAACAGCTGTCAGCAAACACAGGAAGCAGAGAGATCCTTCCCTGGAGCCTGGGGAGAGCCTGGTGCTGCCCACACCCTGACTTCAGATAGGGAGACAGTGAGTTTCTGTTGTTCTAAGACTTTCAGTGTATAATTTATTATGGCCAGCCATAGAAAGTAGTACAAAAGCCAAGAATAAAGAGAAAAATCTCAAGAACTTCCAGAGGAAAAACAGAGAATTCCTAAAAAGAATCAGAATGGCACCAGATTTCCCATTAATATCACTGAATGCTACAACAGTCTTTAAAGATTAAATGAGTTTTGAAAATAAGAATTTAAATCTATCTAAACTAAAAATCAAATGTGATTCCACCATAAAATGTTCCAGAATAGGTAAAGGCTCAGAAATCCTTCACTGAACCTAAGAAAAAATTACATAAAAAATGAGAAGGGAATCCAAGAAAATGTCAACATGAACATAAGAAACTATGGCAACTGGTTACGAATCTGAAGAAGACAATTAGGCTAGAAACAAATTTTAAAAGATTCACTAGATAGATTTTAATGGTTAAGAAATTGTCTTCCAATTGAAAAGTTTTTAATATTTCAGCACTACATTTTTATTTCAAATGGTTATACACTAAAAATATTTACACATCATAATTTGTATGTTCTAATCATTTATTTGTAATGTTTATCAGCCTATATGATTTATTTGTATTTCAAAATAGAATAAAAGCATCACAAATCATAACAATAAAAAATCAATAATATGTCAAGCAATAATTAGAATATAGAGTAGAAGAAAAGAGCTAATGAAGGATGTATGTTAATCTCCTCATTTCTCACAGTGTGAAACTTATAGACATTATTTGAGCTGTTTAATCAAGAAACAGAGATATAAAGATCATATTTAAAGTCATAATGATAGTCACCAGAACACTTATTTTAAATTAATGAAAATAGGCAGAAGGAACTAAAAAGAAACTGGATAGAGACAGATACATACATACATAGATACAGACACAGACAATCTGGCTTGCTTCATACAATGAAAGGAAAGGAACAATAGTAGACGAGACTGGTGAAAACTCGCTAAAGCTGGAAGATACTCAAAAACCCCTTTGGAAATAGACAATTTTTACTATCAACACACACACACACACACAAAAAAAACCCCACAATTACCAGTTTAGGTAAGAACTCAGGCTAAAGTCTTAAGAATACTAATAACTCTAAGTGAATCTTAAATAGCCCACTGCATCCTGGTCCAGACTGTGCCAGCATTCACTAGAATGCTATTCCTGCTCAGTTTCCCTTTCCCAAATACACAGTATCTCAGTTCATGTCTTTCACACAAAGCAGTGCAACTGCACTTCTGTCCCAGCTAAAAGACAGACGACCTCCACAGCACCAAGTGGCACATAGTTTTATAAATGCTTGATCCTGCACAATGATCCCACCCTGGCAAGACTTTCTTCCTCTTCTGGTTGCTTCACACATAGGCTGTATTTTCTCTGAACAGTCAAAAAGGTCAAAGAGAATGGCTGGGTATGTAGCTCAGTGACAAAGTGCTTTTCTAGCATGTGTGAGACCCTGGGTTCAACCCCCAATACCACACACACACACACACACACACACACAAATAGAAGACAACGCTGCCTCTACGTTATTTCTAAGCAACAAAAATTATAAATCTTAGTTTTGATCAAAGCATGTTATAACCAAATTTCACTAACATTTAAACAAAAGAAGAGGGTATGGATTTATCTCCCCTTTATAAAGGAGTTGCTTACATTGCTCATTGATGGAATGAACCATCAAGTAAATATGGTTGCTATGAATGTGATTTATACAAAGAAGTGCTCAATTAATATTTTTCCAATGATACTAGCAGAAATGTAGTCCAATGGCCATGCCTCTGTTATGAACAA